AGGAAAGAGCGCTGGGGTCAGATGACGCCAGCCAGGTGCATGTCCAGCCTCCTCTTAAAGACCCGCAAGGTAGGGGAGAGCACCACCTCCCTTGGACACCCGTTCCAGATTCTGACAAGCCTTACTATAAAGAAGTTCTTCCTGATGTCTAACCTAAATCTGCTTTCTACTAGTTTGTGGTTGTTATTTCTAGTTACTCCAAGGGGTGCCTTGGTAAACAGAGCATCTCCTATCCCTTGCTTCGTTCCCCCTGATTAATTTATAGACGGCCACAAGATCACCTCTCAGCCTTCTTTTGCAGAAGCTGAAGAGATTCAGAACCTGCCTCTGAGAATTTGGGCCAAGTCTCTTCTGCTGATTCATATGGTTTGATGGACTGGAGAAGCTGACAGGCTCTAAGCCACCTGGGAACCCCATGGGAAATGTGTCCTCTTGTAAGGGGAGCCAAGGCTTCTCTGGAAGTGCAGCCTGCTGGATTCTGCTGTGGGCATCTGCACTAATGAGTACCACCAGGATCCAGACCTACAGGAGCTAGGAGGGTGGCAGAAATGCCAGACAAGTCTTCAGGACTGTCTGTGGAGCAGAGCAGCAGCTACGACTAAACCCACCGCAGAGCCGGGCAAGAGCAGGCTAGTATTTGTCAGAGCAGAAGGTCCTTAAGAGACACAGAGAATCTGTTTTGCTGGAAACTCTCTCAGGAGCTGTTGAAAGCATCTGCCTCTAGAAGGGATTTCAAGCACCATCAAAAGGAAAACCAAGCAACACTATGCAAACATCAGACTGGGGCGTCACAAGCAGCCAAAGGGGTGAATCTAGCATGTCAGCTAAAGAGCTGCTGGTGCTATCGCTACCAAGAAACCACTCTGTGGGTCAGGGAACAAGGGGCACAGACCGCTCTGTGGAGGGAGGACACCCCTAGGCCGAGCATTCTCATGCTTGCAAAGACATTTAAGCTGTGTTAAACCCACTCTTCTCTCACCCCTCAGAAAGGTCACTGAACTCGTCTTTTACCCGCTCATCCGACGTTGGAGACAGAACCTGCTTCCCACTCAACTGTCCTAGGAAAGGAAGGAGAACACCGCATGTTACATATGCACAACAGCAGCTGAGCCCGTGAGGATGGCTGCGGAGAAGGCCGTGCTGGAGAAACTTGTTGTAGCAGCTTGTTATGTAAAAGAGATGCAGGACCAAACCCCTTCCAGTGGCCGAGGCTTTAGCTCCTGGGCTGTGGAGACCATGTGGGATTTCCCCTTCTCCCACATCCCTCCACAGTCCCCCTGGCTCCAGCCAGCAGCAGCCTCTGGCTGTGGCATGTTAGAAAATGAGCCTTCAATGTCATCTTCCTGTTGCTAGCAACCAGGCATCTCTGAGCAGGTTTGGGAGCACGGTGCAGGACACTGAGTGGGGTTGCTCCCATCCCTGGGATCGTCCCAGCCTGGGTTAACAAGGGCAATGGGGAGGAGGAAGAGGGGATTAAGGTGCCCAACCCGATACTCTCCATCCAGCCCTGGAGCTGCACCAGACATTTCCTCACAGTCTTCCGAGGGGAGTCACTGCAAGGGGGAGGGCAGGGCAGCCCCCAGCCACTCCAAGACTCACGTTTGAGTGATTAAAATGAAGAACAGGGCAGTGGCCCCAAGCTGTGGGAGGGAACTAACCTGTCCCAAACACAGCCCTTTTCCCGAAGGACTGCTGTCAGGTGAGCGAGATGCCGGCCCAAACACAGGGTGGGGCCTGGACATGGGGACGAGCTGCTCACTGACACAGCACTTGTTTTTTCCCCACAGGGCTTGGGCAGCACTTTCCACCTTGAGCCCCTGGGGACCAGGCAGGTCTCATTCCCTTCTGCAGCCAGGGGAGTGGGGACAAAGGAACTTACCTGAGATTGGGAAGCAAGGTGGTGGCAGAGCCATGCTTGTCACCTGTAGAGTCTTGACACCCAGCCCCATGCCTAGACCCCCTGCCCCTTCTCTTCTCCATGTGTTTTGGAACCTGCCTGCTGCGAGTTTCCTGCTGGCACGGGTGCCACCCTGGAGGACCCAGTACTGCTGAGGGCAGAGGGCTGCAACTTAGGCCAAGCACTTACCTGGGGCACCGCTCAGCGGCGAGGCAGCCGGGGGCAGTGTCTTCTCCTGCAGAGAGGCCATGCCATCCAGCTGCAAGTGAGATGAATCCCCGCTCTGTGACGTCAGGGTCTCCGAGCTTGGTGCCGCTGCGGCCCCTTTGCTTCCTGGCACCTGGCAAACTGCCGTCCTTGCAGGGGCCTGCTGGGGCGTGGGAGCTGCATCTGCCCCAGCCCCGTTGTCCGTCAGGCGCTGGGCTGCGCCCTTGTCCCACTCCCATTTCACGGCCAAGGCATTATCTACGAGCACGGCGCTGCAGTCCGAGTCCGTGTCCATGACATAGTCGTGCCCATCACCGCAACCCCACACAGCGCGGATGATCCCGCAGTACTCGGACGACAGCACACTCTGCAGAGTTGGCACTGACGGGCAGCCCCCGGCATGAGTGTGGGTCCATGTCACCAGGCTGCGCAGGCACTGGGGGCTGGACATGATCAGATCCACTGCGGAGAGGGAACGGCATTAGTGTGGTCAGCCTCCCAGGCTGGTGCTACTATCCCTCCGACCAGCCAGCACAGGAGAGCACAGCTCAGGGGCCTTGGCACATCTCCCAGCCACCCCTCTCCTCCCCTCCAGTGATGCTGCCCGGGCCCTGGGAGCCAACACATCATGACCCTGAGGGTCACTGCTGAATGCCGGGGAAAACCCACTAGGGGCCCCGGGCTCTGCCCCGACACGAGGAAGCCTAGCACTTACCCAGACAGGAGGCTCCTTCTTCCGCCCCTGGCTGGGCCTGGACATCACTGCTCCTACACACCAGAGAGAAGCAACGCGTAGGAAGTGAGGGTAGGAAGGGATCTCGGGAGGTCGCATCTAGTCCAACCCCCTGCTCCAAGCAAGACCAGCCCCAACTACATCATCCCAGCCAGGGTTTTGTTGAGCTGGGGCTTAAAAACCTCCAAGGGTGGAGACTGCACCACTTCTCTGGGGAGCCTATTTCAGGCTTCACTGCCCCCCAGTGAGAAAACTCTTCCTAATATCCAACCTCAACTCCCCTTGCTGCAGCTTGAGCCCATTGCTCCTTGTCCTGCTATCTGACCCCACTGGGAACAGCCCAGCTCCGTCCTCCTCAGGATGAAGCATTGCTGGCTAGGTCAGAGTGGACCGGCAGGGCACAGACCAGCAAAGCCTGGTGAGAAACCACATCTCCCCTTTGGCCGTGCGGATGCTAAAACAGACGCCCAGAAATGCCATGTGCACACGCACATGCACACACAACCACACACAGAGCAACGTGCTTCTTGGCCACGTATGCGCTTGCGTGCACACCCACACATGTACACACAAATGTGTATGCATAGCAACGTACTCCTTGTCCATGCGCACGCACAAACACGCATACACATATCAACATGCTCCTCAGCCATGTATGCGCTTGCATGCACATGTATGCACAAACATGCACGCATGGCAACGCGCTCCTCGTCCACGTGCATGCTCGCACGCACGCACACGTGCGCACGAGCACGCCCACACCCAGCGCCGTACTTGGCCGTGGGCTTGGCGTGGGCGCCAGGCGTGGCATTGACGCGCTGCAGGAAGGTCTTGAGCAGCCCGTGGCACTTGTAGAACTGGGCGTGACACTTCTTGCAGACGTAGGGCGGCAGGCCGGCGTCGCGGCGCACGGCCACCCCCAGCAGGCGCTGGAAGTCGGCGAAGAAGGCCTGGTCCCGGCGGCGCTGGCGCGGCGAGCTGTCGCTGGCCCCGGGCGCGCGGCCGAAGGCGTGGCGCAGGTTGCGTGCCGAGAACTTGCCATGGCACAGGCGGCAGTAGCCGGAGCTCAGCGCCCGCCCGGGCCCTGCGGGAAGGGAGAGAGGGAAGGAGGGGTCAGCCCTCGGGGTCCCCGCGGCCTTCCCGGCCCCGCCCGGTGGGAC